GCGGCAGCTGACTGCCTGCCGGATGTTGCGCCGCATTAACCGGGTAATCTAAATCGTTTAACGGTTTAATGAACTGGCCGCAACTCGCTACGAATTGGCACCTTAACAGCTTGTTGTCTCGGTGCATTTTGTTGAGTGCATAACCAACGTGTTTTCAGCTTCATGTCTGGTCAGTCAGACGGTCAGAGACACACTCCATTCTCATGGACTTCATTGTGTCTTGCATTAGCTTTGTTCCGGGAACTTTAACACATGCTTTTGGCAATCGATGAGGACTCATCGCTGAGGTTCTGCTCGGCGCCACCTTGGTTTCATTTCCAGCCATTGTGTGGCTGCCAACAAGCAGCTGTTCCAAAACCCAAACGCAAGCATTAAATACCCAGAGCTACTGTTACAATTTGCTGATCCATGGCACATGGTGCCTCAATCCTACAGTGGTGTCAAAGCAACCAAACCCAGAGTCCCCGAGTTCCAGCGCACAATACCCAACAGTTTCTATCCTACAGATGGCAGCAGCCTTAGAAACGCTGCCTTGAACAAACGGCCAACCCAAACCTGAACCAATTGAACGTTCTCAAAAGGCAACCAAGCCATTGCAGTTCCTGTTCAGTGACAGTGCGTAGTCTGCTGCAAGCCCCTTACAAACTTGTGCATGTGTCTGCAGTGCAAGTCTGCACCCAGACTGCATCACCCAGTAAGCATAACACAGAGACTAAACGCCAGGAAGGAGGAGACTGCTCCTCAGCATAATCCAGTGGTTGCGCACAGTTGTCACACAGCGCCAAATTTCTTCGACTGAGGGAACTCTTTCGACCTTCCATCCAAACTCCAAACCCACAATTGGCCCCTGCCTGGCTTCCCGAGCATCTCAGCCGTCTACAGTGGCCTTAACCAACAGGCATGTGCACATAGCACCCATGCTCCCTTGCTGTGTGGCATCATTCATACGGGTTGTGGAACATTTTGATGAGGTCTGGTATGTCAATGGCTAGGGCGTCTTCAACAGTTTTGATCATTTTTTTATCCAACTTGGGGAAGCTCGCCAAGTCAAACGTCTGCAAGATTTCGCGAAAGCGATTGACGTCTGGGAAATCTCCTGCGGGCAAGTGGTGCTCCATGCGAACCTGCACAGCAACAACTCTGCCCGTTCACAGCGCTCGGAAGAAGCATGAATCGCACCTTGTGCAAAGTACAGGGCTGCCCACGAATCACCCTCCACAGCACACCAATTCAACCAGATCAGCACTGTGGTCCACTTTTGAGGGCCAACCGCACTGGACGGGGCCAAATTGCAGGTTAACTGAAACACATAATAAAAGCTGCCAGCAACACCATGCATAAGGCTCCTAATCACCACCCCAAATGCGCAACCCACAGACCATGTCAAACTAACTTACTGCGTTGAAGTGCTCTGGGAGGTGTGCAAGGACCTTGTCCTGCGCTCTGCCTTTGCCAAACACATTAGGGAGCTGTTTACGAAGGTGGCCCATCAGCAAAATATGGATCTTGGCTGCTCTCACGCGTTTCACGAATTCGTTGACCTGCAACAAGAACAGGGACTGTCATTTTTGCAAAACGGCAGTTACGGCAAGAAAATTGCCTTTCCAACCCTGGATGCGATGGTCGGCGAGTTTCTAGCCACCAGGCAAATTCATGGTCCAAAACAAGCCCACACCATTGGCATGTGGTCAGATGGGTAGAATATCACAAGCTTTGCTGTCCAAGGAGAATCACAAGGGCAGAGTTGATAAGTTCACACTGCATCTGGGTTTGGACAAAGCACTACACAATCACCTGCACTGCGATGCCCAGAAGTTTCTGCAGATTGAATGGCTACAAATCCAGCATTTCTCAGGTGCCACTTAGCAACTTGCCTTGCGATCACAGCTTCGCTGTGGAATTTCGAGCAGATCGTGCAGCAAATCCTCCTGTTCCTTTCGGAACAATTCCACCCCATGTGGGTTGTTCTCCTCATTGATGGATCGACCCGCATTGAACGAGCCGATGTAGACACGGCAGACTTCAGGCGACTTGAAGACCTTCCCAAGGGACCACATCAGTGCACCGTACACTCGCATCAGTTGCTGCTGGCCCACTTGATCTGCCTTATTGAGGACAACACGGACCTTGTCATCATGGCCCTTGAGACTCGAGATGACCTGAAGCAGCACCACACCTTCTCTTCTTTGAGACTCAGCAGTCAAGTTGATATGAACAATCTGTTGGACTTCACATATCATCGCGCATTCTTGTTCTGCTGGAATCAGACACAGCCATGGCATTTCTAGTGCTGATACTCCAATCAACTGGTGGCCAACAACCATAGTGCCCACACCAAACGTATTCAATAGCACTTTTCATCTCATGATCAGACCAGCCACTTCCGAAGTGCTTCTTTCATTACTGTCAGGTCCTTGTGTGGGACATGAATTCTAACTTTGACTAAGTGCTGGCGTGAGCAGAGTGTCGTTTCCGCGCTATGTGCAAGGATGCATTCGTACCCAGCCATAGCACAGATTGGCTTGCACACCTGTCCTCTGCCCCCCATACTTTGAGTCTTAACTTCAGCTTCATATGATTGTTTCAGCCATTGATTACACCTGCTCTAAATGGCTGCAACATGCACTGGCTGCCCGATTTCATATTGAAGCAACTTCAGGGTGGTGGTCCTGCTTTGTTACATCCCATTGTATGCCCAACTGTATGTTCCACTCATGTATGCTCAAAGGTAACCAGCATCTGCACAAAGGCAACCAGCATCTGCTCTGCAGCAGGAACTGCTCGAATGGCACCTGCCGGAGGTAAATACAACCGGGTAGACACCAGGTAAACACAACCATTCCAAGTTTTGCGAAATACACTGGCAACAATGCGAGTTCCTACACCAATCAGCACCTGCTTGAACTCATCGCTGATATCCAACTTGTAGGGATCGAACAAGAGCAGTATCAAATCGCATCTGGATGCAAACCATCCGCAGACCTGCAACATGGAACAGCACACAAAACCATGGAGTGGCAATTCTCTTGTCATACATTGCACATGACACACAGCCAACCAGGAGATTCAGAAGCATTCGGCTGTTTCTGAGCACTGCCAGCACATACTGTGCTACATCCTACTTTGGGCATCGATCCTTTGGCAAGACTCAACCAAACGTGATGTGACGAAGATGATTAGCTCAGCAACAAAGAAGACAACAGCCCAATGTGCATTTGACAATGCCTGGAATGATTGCACAAATATCTTTCCTTGTATCTGGGATGCCCAGCAACCACAGACAGAGAGTGCGAAGCCAAATGCCATTGTGTTGAGAAAGAGTTGCACATGAGGCAGAACTTGACAACAGCCAGGTGGCCAGAGCTATCAGCAAGATGTTTCTTGCCAGACAGCACTGCAGAGAAAAGATGTTGGGATGCACCATTATGGTCATCACAGCATTGTAGGTGTCTTGTAGGTTATGGTACATCCACGGCAACAATCACAAAATGTGGGGGATACAGAATAAACACATTTGAAGCAGAGTACTGACCAACCTCAGCTGTGGCTGCTGCAGCATGTTCTCACCCCAATGAAGTCATAACTCCTTTCGATCCGCTGTTTCTCTCCAGACAAGACACCAGGTGTGTCGACCAGTGTGATCTCATCTAATAAACGTGCCGAACATTCCGCCGACTCGAACCGTGAAAGAAACCCATGGCCGAAAATGCTCAAGCCCTGGAAGCAGCAAACTCATCGTTACTCGACCACTGTTATGCAATCTATGCACCGGAACTCGCCACCAACAAATCACCCACACTGAATAACGCTATAATAAGCAAATGCAGCTGGCACAAGGACAGTAGCATTCAGCCGCACAATGCACAACATTAATGTACATCCAGCAAGTGATTATCAGGGTAGCGTGAGAGAAGTTCTTAACCTACCATGGCCATACATTTCTGCAAATAAACTCCTCTGAGCAGATTTTGTCGGGCAGCTCCAACAGCTTAGAAAAGCAGGCTGGTCAGGCAGAGGACAGGCCACCTGAGCAGACCATCTTTCAAAAACTCCCCATAGATATGTTGATGTCCTGGCAGTCTCTGACTGCATCAGTCAAGAAAGCGCACACAAACCACAGCTCGCAAGGTTCCTGAATGTGTGCATTCAAGTACTGCAAACAATGGCATGCATCACATGTCCGTACTGACTCCAGAGCGTCAGTACCTGATATGGCTTGTCAGGCTGCACCACGATTGTGTTCCCTGGCGTTCTCCTTTCCTCATGCCCAGACATGACCACCACGAATCTGTCTGTCGTGGGCTCAGGCCCGATGTGGCAACCAGGGTAATCTCTCTCCAAGAGGTGCTTGATGAATGTGGTCTTACCTGCACCAAGCATTTCTCGGCATCAGCACAATCCAATGGTACGACGTGCAAAAGAAACTACAGCCACAAAGCCATGTGTCAACAGGACTCAGCAACCACAAAATGGACAACGTGCATGCAGCGGAGGAAGAGACTGCCAAACGGCCCCCCTCAAAACGGTTTGGCACTTCTCGACCACGTCAGCACCAGCATTCTATTGTAAATACGCTGTTGTCAATTCTTCCATTTCCTGTTCCCTTTCGCACTATACTTCTTTGTCTGCCAATTTCATTTGGACTGGATGGGGACAGGTTCCACACGATCTGGCAAAAGGTTGAGGAGAATCGACATAAATTGCACAACATCGTGCAGCTCCTACCTGTTGAGTACTGCCCCAGGAGCAGCACAGATGGCTTTGCTTCAAAATCGCTGGCGTTCAGCAGTGGGGAATAGAAATGTCCGAACTTGTACACATCTTCAAGAGGGCGTATCTGACAGACAGTGTAACACAAAAAAAGTCAGGACTGGAGCTGATTTCACGTGATTTCACGGTTTGAATTTGGAAACGACAACCAATGCTAGGGTGTGCAGCGCTGTCATTTTGTTGCTGGGCTTCTCACAGGTGCTCTTGCGCCTGGTCGGCCTCAAGTGGGGCCCTCGCACTTCAAGGGGCCTGTATCACGGACACATGCTTGCTCTGTTACACAGCTAGTCCAAACTTCTGCACAGCAGAGCTGCCATTTTCGCACCGTCTCTCCACTGTTGCTTTTTCACAGCCTGCTTGAGTACCAATAATGATTCTTGGTACATTCATTCTGGGCCAGCAAACAGTACTTTTAGACATGAGCATGCCAACGAGTTTTGCTTTGTTGTGTCACCCTTTTACAAGTAGTTGCCAATGCCAATCTTGTGCCAATCAATCATTGTGCTCAATAGACACAAGATCAACAGTGATTTTAGCACAACATAATTGGGGAACTTTGTGCAGCATTGCTAACATTGTGTCATGGAGCCATTTGTATGCACATGGCAAGGCAGTGCCACAAGGCATATCTACAAGAAAAAAGCACCATGGTAGTGGACCTTTGCCATATGCAAGCAAACACAGAGATGGAAGTAGCCTTGCCTTCTCAAAATAGATCTTCTTCAGCCCATCAACGACAGATGTCAGTGTGTTTGTTGATATGTGGGGCTGCTGCTTCTTTCGGCTCGATTTTTCAGGAGTTCCTTGGTACTGAGCTACACAAAGGACACCCCATCAAAGTCAACATCGTGAGGAAACACACAGCACACATGTATCTCATTAAGTGTACTACTCTCTAGGCTTGGTTAGTTTTATGCTCTGTGACTTGCCATACCCTGGCTATGCATTGTTCACCTAAACTACCTGCACCTGGGCTGCCCAACATAGCCCACAAAGGAGCAAGAGCCCTGGTTTGCTGTGCGCAGCCAAAGGGCAACGAAAGCAAACGCAACACACTGCTATTGTGCCCATCTGCCCAAAATGTGAGCTCAAAGAATCAACATTACAGGAAATTCACTCCATGACAAGCAATTCTCTTTCCTCGTGGCAACCACCCTGGCTCCACAAGGGCACATGTGAATATTCCTCTACTACACAAAGAACAAACCAAAACGAAAACAGGAAAAGACAACTGAAACCAAATAAAACAAAAATGAAACAAACAGAGTGTTGTGCATCTGGGGCCCTGCTTGGCAGACAGTCATGCACACATCTTCTGCACTGAGGTCCTGAGAACATACCGGGCTCATAGCTTGACACTGACTTTGCAGGCTGTGCTGAAATGCTGGCTGTCACTTCTGCCATGCCATCAAGCTGGGGCATTGGGATTCCGTTGCTCAATTCCCGCTCATGGTTACCATGGCTCAGCTCTATGCCTTTCTGTGCCATGGATATGAGCTGCATGGCCTGCATTCACAGTGGTGCATGCAATGATACGCAGCAAAATTAGCTACACAATCCCATAGCAATACCCTCCATTCCTTAGTCAAGCACAGCAGCACGAAATTGCACAGCTGCTGTACAATGCCTCCAAGTCATTAGACTGGAGACCATCAAGAGGAAATTGTGAAGCTGTTGGCAAACCATCACCAATAAATTAGCAACTCCTGCAGAAGCTAGCCTGGAGTGTGCCCGGCCTAGAAGTCTGAGTTTCATGGCAAAGTACAGATTGGTGAAACTTTCAGCAAATAATGAATGCCACCACATTCCGCCCTTTATGTTGCAAGCCACTTGCTTACAAACCAGAAACCCCCATTCCAAAAGCTCCAGCCTGAGGGCCAACGTGAGGCTCAATGGTATTATTGCACAACTGCCTACCAATCAAATTTGCTGCTGCTTAAGTGCTCAAAAAACCAATTTCTGAGGCAAGCATCAGCAGCTGCAGCAAAACTTGAAGCAACAAATAGGCACACAGAGTTGTGAACGTGTGGGATCCATACATCTGCACACTGTACCACAACACCAATGTTCTTGTGCAGCTGCTTTCAAACCAACGAGTACAAACAAAAAACAATTCTGCACCTGGACTGATACTGCAAATGCCAACCATTAGATTCAAGGCATCCACAATCTGGTGCAGCAAACAGTGTGTGGGAACAAATGCCTGCAGAGGGTTCCATCAAATATGCACACAAACCTTGTGAAACGCCTGGCAGTTGAGGTAGCCATCTTTCCGTCGGTCCGCCAGTGCCCACACCTGGCAAAGTGCACCAAAGGTATTGTCAATATTTCGATCTTTGTACAGCTACCGGTGCACCAGTCGCATGCTCAAGTATGCTGCCACAGAAAAGATGTGGAGGATTAAGATGCCCTGATATTCATGAAATGAATATCTGGAACTTGAACCAGCACACAAGGGTTTGGCCTTGAGCAGTCATAGTCACTCTCTCAGGCACAAGGCATCGCTTGTTTTCCTGCCAACCCACAACAACATGCTCTGCTTGAAACCCATCCAACGATTCGTTCCCAAATAATGTGCCAGGGCCCCTTGAACCCAACCCCCAGCACCCCTCTGATATCTACCTCCAACAAATTACGTCTCCCCTCAGAGCAACACACACATTCACAGGCACCAAGGTGCTGTACACAAGATGAGCCAGCATTTACTCACGCAAAAGTGTCAGGGCACAATGGTGGAGGAATGAAAGCCATCAGGCAGCAAAGGAACAGCCACAACCAGTAACAGCAACACTGTTCTGAAAATGGACCGAAACTGGACGTTACCAAAGGCTGGGGTTCTACCAAGACTGTGACCAAAATACCAAGAATACAAACCTTGCCTTGGCTGGCCTTGGAAATGAGTTTGATTCGTCAGGGGTGAAAGATTCATTGAGGATACACTGCAGGCCACTGTCCAGTATACCTCGACTTCGATTCACAACCAGAAAATTTGCCTTTGCCAGTGCAAGGGAATGGCATGATTTCTCTCCTCATGGCCTGCCATACAGACTACAGCTTGACCACATTTCCTGTGCTGTGTGGGAGCAAGCAATCCCTTGCCAGCCAACTCTTTGGATCATAGACGTCAGAAAGAACCAAAGCAAGAAAAGACCCTGCACCTTGCAGAAAATCATGGACCTGTTTTGCCAGGCCAATACGAGCAATGGTGCCGTTACTCTCAGCAACTCGTTTTGGGAATGGACGTAGTTCCTGCAGCAGTCAAGGTGACAATTGATGGATATACACGCCTGAAGAACTTTTTGACGCTTTCAGTTTCATGGTCTGCATACATGCAGCACACAATTTGGACACTGCAGTGCTGCTGCTGCAGCCTCCCGGGGATGAAATGGTACAGATTTTAGGCAATGCCTTGGCAACTGTCGTCGACAGCTCCCTAGAGCTTGCCGTTCTGATCGTCGTGAAAATCTTGAACACAGCCCGTTTCTTGCAAACAGAGGCAGGGAAACCACACGCCGAGTTGCAGCGATGTTGCTCATGCAACCCGATAAACAATGCCGTGTCGGATCCACCAGCAGCGCCTACGCCCACACGACGATCCACGCCCAGCAGGTTGCACCTTGTCTTGTCGTCAATAGTACCTTTGCCAAAATGTCGCGTGGAAGGCCCGACCGCTCGAAAAATTGCACGGCATCAGGACCGCTCAGACGGCCGTCATTGTCTGCCACAACAGAAGGCAATCGCCTTGAGGGGCCCAAAACACAACGGCCGCGACACATTTGCCATGGACCGCATGGCGCGCAACCTCTTGTGCGCAGCCATGCCCAATGGCTATCACCCAATGCTGACATTGCGGGCGAGCCTTGGTACCTTTGTCTGCAAACACGAACCACTTGTCGTAAACAGCCGCTGGAGACATCTCCATGGCCAGCACCCTGCCCGGCGGCCAGCGGCCACCGTCGATCGCGCCCAAAGCTCAACCGCTGAGGTGGGCCACAAACGTCGACGAGTCCCCTGGGCACACCGGAGCTGGGTGGTCCCCTCCCACAGCAAGCGACCAGCCCCGCGACGGGCACAAATGCCATCAACAGGGCATCATGAATGCGAATCGCCGACTTGGGACTCGGAGCGGGCGAAACTTGCGGTGTGCAACATCAAGGCATTCGGAATGCATTCGCCCGGCCCTGGGGCAGACGCCCTGATCCGACCCCGAGTGTCCTGGGCACACCGCCCTTGCCGCCGCGGCGTGCCTTTGGAGGGACGCAAACCTCACGCTGTGTGCAGGGCTGGTTCAGGTGCAGTGCGGATCTGCCTCGAATCTCCCAGATGGGGACAATGTGTACTCAAGCTCTGGAATCCGGGGAATGAGGGAGACCCAGCCGACGCGATCATGTGGGAAAACGTTTGCCAATTGAACTGTAGATGACGACTCCGACGATCCGGGCCTTGTAGTCTTGGGATGTCTTGAATTGCCACACCGATCCCTCAGCGCTCTCAACGCCATTCCTCTGACTTCCTTGGTCAAGGGTAGGGGCCCAGCCACGCCGGTCTCCGCAGCTGGTCTTCGACCCCTCCACCTTGACGAGTTTGGATGCCCCGTTCCAGATGCAGATGTCAATTTGCGGAGTGGGGATCGAGTATCGGACAGTGCGCATGGCAATGGCGGTGGCCATGATGGTGAAGCCAGAAGGGTGCTGTTCAACAGAATTGCACCAGTTTATGACCAGGTACCCCACGTTGAACCATTTTGTCCAGCCGCAGCGCCACTGAATTCCTTCTGAAGTGAATAGAAAAAAGCACCTTATAAATACGTTCGTAGTGGCCATTTCGTGCGCCAATTGCACACTGGTTACGCTGTTGCTATTTTGAACTCCATTTTGACCCTTACACGGGTTGCAGGTGTCCACCAACTTGAATTGCACTTTGGCACTCGTGAAGAATTGTCCCCAGCTTTGGAAACCATGTCTTCATAGTCATAGATGTTGAAGCTGCCAGTGTTTTAGATTGGACTACAAGTGGTGCGATTGCTGGGACTTCACTGCAATCACTGATTCAGTGATTCGTGTGCATTTCGCTCCTCCATTGGACAGGACATTTGCAGGAAAGCCCAGCTACTCTGGTTACCTTCGTGTAGTTTACTATTTTTGTAACTTTGTGCTACACTGCTTATTGTGTTTTGCACTGTTCTCTCTTTGCACAGCTGCACACTCCTGTGCTATGCTCTGCGCTGCTGCATCTTTCACAGTGCAGGAATGTGCTCAGAATTTCTGCTTGGGGCCTAGGTTCATTTCTTCTCTCTAGCATGTTTGTTGTCCAAAGGATATGTGCAACTTGCTGTTGTGCAGATGGCGGTGATATCAATGTGCCAACGCATGACTCAATTATGTGCCCATGGCCCTGAATCATTCTGCTGCATGCACTGCAGCTGAACAATGCACTTAGTCTGGGCCAACACCGTGAGTGGAAGCAGACAACAGTTGAATGGAGTGGAGCTCAGGCTGGAGACCGGGCGTTGGATGTTTGCTGTGGGAGCGGGGACTTGACATTTGGTCTTGCAGAGGCTGTTGGGCCCACTGGAGAGGTGAAGAGTGTGTTTGCGACAATAGAATGCAAATCGTATACTGGGCACACACACACTCAACGAGAATTGTAGTGAGACGCTTTCTATACTGCAGAAGATGGCGCCCCAAAGAAATGCACAGAAATATTGCAGCCAATTGCTCAGCTGAGCTTCAAGAAAGACAACAAGGGCAATATGGGTATGCAGCACAGCTTTAGGCAATGGATACAGCACAATCAGTACCCAATACGAGTTTTTCCACTGCAGAGCATTGCGCTGAAATTTGCTTCAGATATGGATGGCGACTACAATTAAAACCTCAGTGGGGATTCCTTTCTTACCCAGTGAATCTTGAACTGGCTGTGCCATCATCATTTGGCTGGAGGCAAATGTACAGTGATTAGGCTTGGGCGGCTGTCACGTCTCTATTGCGATTTCATTGCTTTTGGACTGGGGTTTGATACATTGTTGGATTTGTTATTTGATTCATGATGTACTGATAACTATTGATTGATATATTGTGATTTGCAAGGTCGTTGGCTTGGATTTTGCTGCTGAAATGCTTGAGGAGGCTGCCAACGAACAGCGGAGGCGAGAGGGCCGGGTGAGCAGCTTGGCGGCAATGAAGTGAGAAGGGTGGATGCTGGTATATCATGTCTTAAGCTGCAGCCATGATGTTATGTTTCTGTGGAAATTCACTGATTCTGAAAATGTAAAATAACAGCAACAGATAGTGCTGATCAGCACTTGACATGTTGTTGGCCACACCCGCACCTGGCTGCAAGAAGCAGACTCTATTGAAGAGCTTACATGATATGCTGCACATCAAATATGCCCTACCATGTGACAGGCTGGGCAAGTACAGATACCTTGTTTTGTTCATGAGTGAGGACACCATATACGAACAAGGAAATAAGGCACAGATAGTGCATATGCTAAACATGCAAGGTGGATATGGTGCCCTTGAATGACAGGACAAAGACCTGCCATCCAATGGTGTGCAGTGAGTGTGCTTGACACAGGGTATACAATATAAGCCATTCTTTGTGGTATATCATCTGTGATTGGGTGCAGCAATGGAGGAGCACAGGCGCACATTGAAACTGGAGGCTGCTCTGGCTCTGGAGCACCCAGAACATTAAGAAACCAGCTGGAACCCTGCTGGATAGACCAGGCTCTTATTGGGTCTTGGCACAAAAGTACTGTGGGAAGTTTGGGTCTTGAGGGAAGAGTGGAGGTTCGACGCTCTGACACGTTGCGGCTGTGACAGAGGAAACACTGCAGTCAATGATGGCAAGCATTTAGTAATGGGCTGTGACCTATCAATAGCGCAGGAAGTGTATGAGGAGACTGCATTTGTGCAAAGATGATGTACGTACCTGGAGGATATGTTACAGTGAACGATAGGACAATGCACAACGCTAGTCATGAACTGGAACGTTGTAGGTCTCGCAGTTTAGAACACCAAGTAATGCTTCCGCCCTTTGCAGTTCACGTCTGCTTGCTTGCCAATGTATGTGAACTGCTTGCTTAGCAGTTTGTTGCAACAGCACGTTGTGTGACGCCTTCTTGATAGGTGGGTCCAAGGTGATGCCATGTCCCTTCCCTTTCCAGACAACCACTTCGATGCCATCACAATGGGATATGGTTTGCGAAACATTGTGGACCGAGGTCAGGCTCTGAAGGAGTTGCATCGGGTGCTAAGGCCAGGTGGGCAGTCCATTAGTGAAACGATAGTTCATGTCAGGTGGTCTCAACAATGCACTTGCTTGTCAAGGCCCCCAGGGTATTGGGCTCCTGTGACACGTTGGAATGTTGCGAGTGTTTGGCAGACATGTCCTGTGGCGATGTCTCGCGTGGAAGTCCTGATTCTTGTTGCCCTGCATGCTCAAGTTCTGCATGTATAATGGAGTGTGGGGTGCAGGATGGTTTCGTGTTGTTGCAGAGAGGCGCGACATGGACAGTGTGTTTTTGTCACGCTGTTTGTAATGATGCAGCCATGACCAACTCCGGAACCTGAGCTGCAAGATATCCACAGGCTGATGCAGTGTTTGAATCGAAGAGTACGAAATTATGGACCAACTTGCAGTACGTGCTGCGGGGACCTTTGTGAGCTTTAGTTGGTGCCATCATTGTATTGCGTGCTCCTGTAATTGGCTGCCCTGATTGATTGACCATGCTACCCTGTCGCACCAGGCCGGCGGGCTGCCATTTTGGACTTCAACCATTCCAACGACATCCTGGTGGATGCTTTTCAGGTATGCCGACAACTGCATGTCGTTCAACTGACCACTCCATCAAGTTTCCGACAGTAGAGGCAACCTCCCCATGCGCGTGGGGATTCACTGTTCCTGCTCGACCTTGCCACTGTGTTGAAACTGTGTGGGAGTACACAGTCCGCTTGCGTTGTTTCCTTCACAGGATGATGCCAGGTGCCTCATCAGTAAGTAACAGACGATTGCCCATGGTCGCCGTTCTCCATTCACGGGTTTCCTGAGGACAGTAATATGGCCGGGTGCATTCTCTAGGGTGACCTGCCAATGAAATCCTGTCTTGTGTATCCCAATGACCCAGTCTCTGCTTGCGTTCGCACAACAATGCCACACAGGCCGCAAGCTGCACACCCGCAGCTGTAAACACAATGGGTGCCTGCCATGTGTCGATATGGGCCAAGCAAACGCCAGGGCAGTAGAGCACATGAATGACCATGACGTTGGCGTGACTTGGAAGTGACTGATTCAGTGCTAAACTGGCAGTAACATGGGAATTGGCGCTGTCAATCGTATTGTTCACATGCGGGCATGTTCTCACGTGCGTCAGTGTCACGCACTCTGTCATTTGGCTCCCAGCATGACTAAGCAATGCATGCGTTTTCGTGCAGGGATTTGCCTTGGAGCATCTTGTTGTCCCAGTTGCCCGTTTGTACGGCTTGGAGGACGAGTACAAGTACCTGCGACCTTCAATCGAGAACTTTCCCTGTGGTAATGCGCTTATGCTCCTTTGGGCTCAAGCTCTCGCTTGCAATGCTGACGTCAAGATCCTTTAGGTACACAGGCAGCGTTTGGCAACAGCAACTTTCCTCCCTTGTTTGTTGCTGACCTTGCATCGTGTTGTTGTTGCCTTGCTAGGTGCCGAGCAGGAGCGCCTGGGCCGTAATTCGGGATTCGCAACGGTCAGGCATTATGAAATTGGGTTCAAGCTCATGGGTATTTTGCTATGTCAGAAAGGACGCTGATGAACTCGTATGCAGCGTCAGTGGCGGGAATAGGAAGAGCACAAGGAGTGTTGGCACCTTTTGTGTATCTAGCGCGCTTGTTTCAACTCTCCCATAGTTACTCCGATACTAACTATACGACCTCTGTTAGTGATCCCAGCGTGGGTCTTCAGATTCTGCCGTCCATTTTTCCATTTTTCATGCATCGTTGCTGAACCTGAAACTTGTTGAAGTGGTCAGAAACAATGCAGGAACCGTCGTACCCCACTTTTGCGTTTCTGTACTCCATGTGCTTCCTTTGAGAGTCAACTCCAAAACAATTCGGCGTGTGCTGGAAACGGTTTGTGTTGTGCTTTCCCCAGGCAGTGCAAAATCCTCCAAAAATGAAAAACGGTGTACTCGTGTAAATGGAAGGGCACAAAAGGTTCGAAACTTTGTGACGTGAACCTTCTTACACCCCCACACCCACCTGTACCCTCCTTTACACCACACAATCGTTGGCATGACAACATCCCGCCACTTTGAAGTGTAACTGCTTGTCAGTGCCCAACCTGAAAACGCTGTTCAGTACCTGCCACACTCTGATGGTGCCCAGAACAGAGATGGCTTCGGTTCCAGGATTTGTCCACGACTAAAAAGGAAGTTGACTTTAGGCAGGACAGCACGGACTGTCCAATGATGCACACCTCCGACAGGATTACATTGAAAACGATGTCAGGACATGCAGACTGTTGAACACAAGGAGCGTATAAGAGGAACACGCCACCAGCATTCACTAGCTCGCAGGTAAGCCAATAGCCCACTGACCTTAGATGACATCGCAATTTTGCCCCCCTGTGCCCAACAGCAGTTGATCTTGGTCAAGCAGCAGGTTCCCAACACTTCTCACCAGGAACACTGCCAACTGTGATGGGATCAGGGCAACTGCCCTGGCTGGTGTGTTGGCCAGCCTGTTTGACATAGCCCATCAGAACCAACGGAATTGCCTTGTCTCAACAACCCATCAAGCTTGACCACACTGAGTCATGCCAGCAGTGCAACCCGTTCAGCATGGCACAAACGCCACAGTGGCATGGCCAAGGGCAGCCAATTGCCCGCCTGTTGGCAAGATAATGGCGATGAGAAGGCTTGCTGCAGCGACAGCCAGATGAGGATCAACCATGGACATTGAAGCTGAGGAGGTGGAAGGATACAGGCGAACCCAGGCACACCTGTTCCCACCACCTGCACCCAGTATGCTGACGTTTGCAACTGGCCCTGTACTCTGAAGAAGCCTGGCACACATTTGCCACCTGCAAGAGGACTGCCAACCCGCATGTCCACAACTGCACAACCCATGCAGCGTGCCTTTATCTTCTTCACGCCAGGCCAACCAAGCCCTCACCACCCATCGAGTGTTCAGCAGCCCAAGAATTGCATTGGAACAGCCCACTGGCTCTTCTGCAGTAAGGAGCTGTTTCTCCAGATTGGGTGCACACCACCTCTTGCAGCTAGTGATTCGATCTGAGGCAGTGAAATGGAGTCGGGGCCCATTCATGCTCCCCATCCCGCCCCCTGCTCCTTTTGGCTGCACCAACCCTCTCTGCTCGTAGTGTTGCGGACCGCCCTTGCTCACACGCACTGCCTCAGGGCGTCGCCTTGGCCCTGAAAGAAGGCAAACGACAGAAAGAAGTCCGCAATGAAGATTGCCACCAGGGATATGACCACGGCGCTGGTCGTCGACTCGCCAACCCCCTTGGCGCCCCCGGACGTCGTGAACCCCCACGAACAGCTGACGGCCGAGATGATCCCCCCGAAGACCAGCGCCTTGATCTGGCTGGACAGGAGGTCCCACGCCGTTATGGCCCGCACGGCGGAGTCCATGATCACGTTCGCGGGCACGTTGTACACGACCTCCGCCAGCAGCACCGAGCAGCCCATCCCCATGCAGAAGCACAGGACGGTCAGCAGCGGGCCGGCGATCATGCACGCCAGGACGCGGGGAGTCACGAGGTAGTCCACCGGGTCCGTGCCCAGCACCCGGAGTGAGTCGATCTGCTCCGACACCTGCATGGTTCCCAGCTCGGCGGCAAACGCGCTGCCCACCCTACCCGCCAAGATGACACAAGTCACCACGGGCGTGAGCTCCCTGGACAGCGCCAGGGCCAGCACGCCGCCAACGGATCTCGTCAGCCCCAATTTGGTGAATTCCCTCACGAACTGGATCGTAAACACCATCCCAATGAAGCCTGCGGTGAGCAGGGAGACGCCCACGGAGCGCGGCCCCACGGCCTCCAGCTGCTCCAGGGTGTTGCGCACGTGCACCCTGCCCGTCGCGATCCTCAGCAGCGCCTGACCGCCGAGGATGCAGGCGGCCGCCGCGCGGAAGGCCCATCGCGGCGGCGTCAGCCTGGCGAGGAATCTGGCCGGCGACCTGGGCCGGACGGAGTTGGAACCCGGGGAGGCGGAGTTCCCAGAGGTTGACAGATCCGCGGTCTGGGCGCAGGCCACGCCGGAAGGCAATCTGGGGCCCCGGGAGGGATGCCGGCATTGGCGCGACCCAAAGGGCGGAAATTGCCATTTTGGTGGCCAGGAGGCGCGGTGTCGGGCAGGGAGAGCTGGCAGCAGCGCTGCCGGAGCCCCCGTTGGCAAGCCTGGAGGGAAGGGCCGCCGCGTGTTCATCGCTGGGCCGGGCCAAGGCCACCAAGGCTGGGCTTGTCCGCCGGGAAGGAGGAACAACAGCGCGCCTGTTGGGGGGGTGCCGTGCGGTGTTTTCGTGCCAACAAAATGGAATGAGAAATAGTGAATGCAGGAATCAGCGCACTGTTGAAATCACCTCAAATCAAGGCCATTTATGCAACGGCCATTGATTAAAAAACCAAGAAAAAAGGGTTGAAAAGAGGGCAAAAAGGGGTGATTTCATAACACAGGGGAAGAAGTTTTAAGTGAAGAAACTATAGGATAAGAGCTGCACTTATTAGGATTAGGAAGCCATGGAACGAGGGTGGCAGTGCCATGGTTAAGGCATGGCAGCGCCATGGTTAAGGCATGGCAACGCCACGGTTGGGGCGTGCCAGCGCCATGGTTGAGGCATGCCAGCGCCATGGTTGGGGCGTGCCGGCGCCATGGCACAAGTATGACTAAACGACGTGCGAAGTATTGGGAAGGAAACGGAACCTCTTTACAAGGTGCTACCAAGTACGAAGACTAACTACAGTCGCCAAAATGCCACGTTTGTCCACCTTGGCAGCGTGGAGAGCAGCTTGTCTGACTGAGACTACCTCTGCGTCAAACCCAAGGACTGATTCCTATCATTCTAGAGCCTGATCTGCGACTACAGCCTGCACAGCAGTGCGCGGTGCTCATCGAAATCACACCGCCTGCTTGCGGTCAGACGCGGTGTCCCACGATGGGGTGTACGGACGATCGGAGGCATCGGAGTTGATGTCGCATCTTCGAGGCGTACTGAGCGACGGCAAAGGCGGGAATACGGCTGCGAGAGGACGATGATACGATGTCGGAGGCTGCCGAGCTGCAGACAGACGATCGATTGACAAGAAGTTACTGATACGTTCAGTCAGCGATGGGATAGCGTCATGGTAACGTAGGAACGATCCTCGGGCAGGCAGGACTTGAAGTGACTAACTGTTGATGAGCTGTCAAGGGTCGGAGCGTGACGGCGCCATGTTTGGGGCATGGCCAGGCCGTGTTTGGGGCGTGCCGCCGCCATGCTCGGGTTTTGATCGAGGGATGATCTGATCCATGACAGGCACACTATGATGTGTATTGGATGGGAAAGAGTCTTTTCTTAATCGGAGTTGTACTGGGAACGTTGGGAACAGTACCAAAGACAATAACGATGTACTGATGCACTGGTTTTAATACAAATACGAGGCGCTCCATGGTGAGCGAGAGCCTCGCTGAGTCCGTTGATTCCTGTCTGATCCGTGTGCCTCTGGTCATGCTGGTTGCCGTGTCGGTGCCAGCCTGCCTCCGCCCCTCTCGCGAAAGCGCTGCCCCAGTCGGTCGGGGCTTCGTGTCGACTTCCCATCGCCGGCGGCGTCGCGTTGGGCGGAGGAGCACCCGGTGGAGTCTGTCCACCACCCCAGAGGGTCTGACAGGGCGCGGAGGCGAGCTCCGTTAACGATCGATTCTACTCGGTCGGACATTTGGTTGGTTGGTAAGACTGCGCTGGCTTTGAAGGAGTGACGTGGTCGGTTATGGCGCGTTGCTTTCAAGATGGTTTCGGAGCATGGGGTCATGCTGCTGGTCGGATTCGCGTGCGTCGTGGGGTACGACGCCGTCATGCTGCTCGGGTGCCGTGGGCGCCCATGTGGATCGCGATGATCGTGATCCTTGGGATGTGGACGGAGGCGTTCGCCTGGACGATGACAGAAGTATCGTCCTCGAGGGCAGGGGCCTCGAAGGGCGCAGTTGGACGGGAGAAGAAGGGTGTGGTGTACCGCACCTGGTGGGACCGACTGGCGTCGTTCTGGTGGGAAAGGGTTGTGACTGATGGTGACGCAGGGTACCAGGAAGCCCGGGCTCCGCCTGGGGGGTATGTGCCGTATGCCCATGGTTGTACGTCCCTGCGATGCACGTTCCATGCATTGCAGGACAGTGCGATCGATCTCCTGATGGACGCTGTCACAGACTCGCTGGGAGTGTGGCGGAAAATTCGAGGCGGGATTGGCCATGTGGTTGAGCATGGGATCCCATGGTTCAACGAGATCTTGGGGATTTTTATCTTGTGGGTACTCTGCAACTTCTGGGCAACGGTATGGATGAAGATTGAAGATGTGATTGAGACGATCGCGGCGCTGGTTCATGCTTTCTGCCATGCACCTATTTTTATCCTACTTGGTCGCTGGAAGGAACCTTTCTGGAAACGATGCGTTGAGGCGCCAGTCAAGAAGGACAAGAAGGCCAAGACTAAGCGTGAGTCAGATGGAAAGAGCGGACAAGCAATTGTGGCGATTGTGGAGCACCATGAGGAGTCTGACAAAGGGGATGAGGCTGTTGAGGGCAAGGAGACCAACGGTGGGACTGCACATGCATCTGTTGTATGGGAAACCCATCAACAAGGATCAGAAAAGGAGCTGGATGAAGATGCATTGTGTGACAAGATTGCTGAGAAGTTGAGGAAGACGTTGGGATTCAGGGAAGACAGGAGAAGAACTGCCATGCCTCACAAGTCGAAGGCAGAACTGTGTGTACGTTTTGCAAGTCGAACAATCACACTATCGAGCAGTGCTTCACTCGAAAGAGGATCATGAAGCATGAGGCTATGGAGGCTGAAAAGAAACGGCAGGAAAGTGCGCAGGAAGAGGGGCAGGGAAGTGGTGTCCAAGTTGCTAAGTGTCATTTATAGATCAGCAAGACACTTCCCCGAAGCTGATGTATACGCCCGCCATCATTGATGGCCATCGATTCACCAGGTGCATGATTGACACGGGGAGCGAAGTGAATGTTTTGCCATTGAAGGAAGCTGTCAAGCGAGGGATCGCTCATGATCCGGGGGCAATCACACAGATTATAGGGTTCAATGGGGCGCCATCTCCTGTCGTGGGTGTGACCACTTGTGGTCTAAAAGTGTCACCATGCAGTGAGGAAGTTCTGGTACAATTTCTGGTGACGGATGGTTTATCCGGGTCACCCATTTTGGGCATGCCAGCCATGCAAGAGTTAGGGCTGGTGGTTGATTGTGCACAAAGGGAACTTGCTGAGCGGGTGACAGGGAAAGTAGTAAGATGCTCAGTGGTTGCTAAGCCCCAAAAAAACTGAGTGATTCAGCAGGGTTCCAGGCACCTGCTGGGAAAGGGGAATGCAGCTGCGAGGAAGGGGACGCACTCCAGGGGTCCTGGGCCTGGGGAGATGGTACAGCCACCCTTGAACAATTATGGAGCATGGAAAATAGTACAGGAATAGGGGTACATACGCCAAATTTAGTCTCTGTCACATGTGGGAAAGCTGTATTTTTGCCTCCAAGGGAGTATACCCGAGTATATCTGCCATACAAAATCAGTGTTGAGGGGGGAGTCTCGCTGGCTGTCGGACTCCAAAGGCCAGGCTTGATTGCTGGGATGACAGTGACTAAGGGAGGCATGTTAAGGCTCAATATCTGGAATTCTTTAGAGGAAACTGTATGCTTGACTCCAAAGACTATTCTGATAGTCGTGAAGGCCAAGAATATATTGATCAAACGGCTGGGGAAGGACATCAAGAAGATCAACCACATCAGTGAAGATTTGAATGCTTTTGGAGCAAGACTACAGCAGGAGGTCATGTTGTTGTACCCGTCAGTGGGTGACCTGTCAGACCATCCTGTGAATGAAGCAATGGCGAAGCTGGTGGTCAAGTCTTCGGAAGTTACATGGAAAGAGCCCAAAGAAAGGGGAAGCCGCACACAATACATAGTGGAGGAAGTCGCTGATCGGAGGAAGGTGAAGCAGCAGCTGGATGCATATGTGCAGCGTGGCTACTTAAAGGAAGCTTCTGTGGCAGACGACCTTTACTTAAGCCCTTTACTGCCAATCAAGAAACCGACTGGAGCATACCGTTTTACTAATGACTTCAGAAAACTGAATAGCTACTTTCCAAGTGGCAGTGGGACAACGCAAGTCGATGTATGGAGGAAGATGTGGGAATTGAACCCAAAGTGGAAGTATTACTGCAAAATAGATCTCAAGGATGGGTTTTTTGGGATTCCCATAGATGACAAGTTGTCCCAATTATTCGGTTTTAGCTATGGTACACAGCGGTTTCGGTGGGTTAGGCTTCCACAGGGCTGGAAATGGAGCTCAGTTTTCTTTGGGGAAAGAATTGCAGAGATACTAAAGGAAACATTTTGCCCACAGTACAGCGATGATGTACTGATAGGGGCTGAGTCATTAGAGGAGCTGAGGGAAAGGGTGATACATGTTTTTTCTAAATTCGCAGAATATGGGGTGAAGGTGAACTTCGACAAAGTAACTTGGTGTAGTAGGGAAGTAACCTTCTTAGGACATGAAATAGTAGATGGACGGTGGAGCTTTGAAAGGTTTTTGAATAAAAGGATGAAAGAAGTAGGACAAGTAAATAATATTAAGCAGCTTGAATCAGTAATAGGGGTTCTCTCATATGCCCGAAGGTGTATAGTGGGGATTGAGAGGATTTTGGGCCCACTACGTAGTGCATTAAAGGACTGGAAAAGTCAGTCTTTCTCTGATGAAAAAATAAGGGATGTTCATAGGAAAGTGAAGGAGGCATTCCGGTTAGCATTGGACAATCTACAGTGGCTAATCTTGCCAGGGGCTGAGGCTGACCGGTACACATTTAGCATGGAGTCAGACTGGAGTACAGGGCATATTGGATACATGCTATTTGTGGAAAAGAATGGTGAGGAAAGACTAGTAGATATTGGTAGTAGGATGGTGAAAACCCCCACCTCCTCCTATTTAGGAGAGTTAGATGCTATAGTGTGGGCATGCAAAAGGACCAAGGCATTCAGAGGATCAATACCCTTGACAATACGGACTGATAGTCATTCAGTTTTTGACAAGTTTCGGTCAGGGTATCTATATGATAATGACGTGAGATCTTTCCGCCGTTGGGGGTGGCTGATTGCTAATGAGCCTGGCTTTAGGTTAGTTTTTACACCGGGGGTAACAAACAAAGGGGCAGATCATCTGAGTCGCCCTAAT